ACAGTTTCTTTGCCTCTCCCGAGCCAACTCCCCTGGCATATCATCTGTCTCTTTCACCAATTTCTTCTCTTTCCAGCCGCTTCCCAAAGCCTGGTAGAGGCTAGAGGTATAGGGCTACATTTTAGGTCGCTTGTTAACCACACACCACCTCTACTTTGTGCAACACACACACACAGTAGGGAGATTGAACAAGTGCGATGGGTCAGGGGCTCTGACCATGGTTGTTTTTTCTTCAAGCCGACCGAGTTCATGATCAAATGCAGTCAAGAACACCGTACATCACCGTGACCGTACATATTATCCACTGACATGCCCTCCGCACCGTTTGAAGGGCCTTTTGATTGACGGCCAAGGTCAAAGGTAAACACACAAGTCAGTCCGGTCAAAGGCTGTGCTGAAATCCAGCTGTATCCCGCGTGGACCGGTTCAGGCATAGTTTAGATTTCGGGTCATTGCAGCCAAATGCCATCTGACAGACCAGCTGACTGGGTGTGTCTGCAAGAAAGTAGTGCCTGAGGTAGGCGAGGGATTTCATGGTTGATTCCTGTTCCGCTGTAACATTGTGACTGCTGAAATGTTCGAATCAAATGTGGGTAGGATCTTGGAGCGACGGGGTTTATTTTTAAGAGGGGAGGGCGGAGCTAGCCTGGGTACCATCCTGGTTAGTTTACGTCCGCTCCTACAGTCGCTGGTGGTAGCGACTGTAGGAGCGGACGTAAACTAACCAGGATGGTACTAGTACCCAGGCTAGGGCGGAGCGCCTCATACCGCTCTCCACCGATCCGTGAGCACCAGATCACCCCCACCCCCGACCCGACAAAAAAAGAAACCGTCGCTCTAGCTGCGATCGTAGAAACAGACGCTGCACCGCTAGAAGTCTGCACAGGATCATACTAAGAACTAACAACCTCTGAACCTTCCCGTAATCACAGTTTTGTTTGTTGACTACTGTGTCCCTCGTTTTTCCGTGCATCTATATAGGCAAAGGATCCGGCAATATGGCCTATCACTTCCTTACACAAGTCCTTGCTGCGCTGTTGACCTCCTGGCTAGCAGAAGTCCAGGCAGTGGCAGACGTGACGGCCCCGGCAGGCCGAGTGGTCGGGCTGGAGCTGGACGTGCTCGGGACGACAGTTCACGCCTTCCTGGGAGTCCCGTTCGCGCGGCCGCCGGTCGGACCACGGCGGTTCCGACGGGCCGAACCCATGGAACCGTGGGGAGGGACATACAACGCAACAAGGTGACTGTCATCTGCAACTTGATAAGTGATATCCTTCTACTGGAAGAGGTGGCATCCATCACAATGCTTTAGTCAAATGTACTGATGCTTTAGGGAGGAAGTCATCATGTTTCAGTTAAGTCCAAGAGTAGTACCATTTCAACGTAACAGGAAGATCCAGACTCCACAGCTTGGAAGTTTGTCTAAAGATTGTTTCACCTGGCTTTAATTGGGGGTAACCAGAAGGGTACTTGGGGTAACCAGAATACCGCTGCCGTATACTATAACTGCTGCCTAGTCCAAAGTCAATGTCAAGTTTCTAATACAATTACTTTTGGAAATTCAGAAAGTAGAACCTACAGAACCAAAACAAGTGCTTCTGTTGTGGAGTAAAAATGGTATTTTAGTAATTTTACTTTTCTTAGGAAGCCAAGTGCCTGCATCCAAGACCTTGCCTTCTACGGAAGACCAGGAAGCATCTACAACACCTGGACACCGAACGGACCGATCAGCGAGGACTGTCTGTACCTGAACGTGTGGCGGCCCACACCCGTCCCCACCCGAGCAGCCGTGCTGGTCTGGATCTACGGAGGGAGTTTCCAAGTGTAAGTTTTAGACCAGGAAAGAGGTGTATGTACATCGATGAAGGTTAGACATCCAGGTAACGAGATACATAATAAATTGTTACTCAAGCAACAGCTATAATATTATCAACCGATTACATAATCAGTGATCAGTGTCTACTTTTCAAATCCTGTCGAGCCAATGAAATCCCCGTGCCCATAGCGGTGCTGTGATTATACGAATCTTACAAAGGACTATCCGAAGCCGCTGATGTTTTCTACTGTGCTGTTGGGGCGCTACCATGTGGGCTATGTCAGCTGGTCATGATAGTCACCTCAGAAAGACTTGTTTGACAAGACAATTCCAAGAATCCTGAGTGTTTTCTGGACATGTTTTCTTTCTCCAGCGGTTCTTCGACGGTTGACCTCTACGACGGGAAGTACCTCGCAGCCGCGGAGGGAGTCGTGGTGGTGACCGTGAACTACCGAGTCAGCACGCTGGGGTTCCTGTACACTCCGTCAGGGGGCGCTCCGGGAAACATGGGGCTCACGGACCAGGCCATGGCTCTCACGTGGGTGAAGGAAAACATCGCGTCATTCGGTGGTGACCCGAACTTGGTGACGCTTGTTGGTGAAAGCGCCGGCGGGGTGAGTGTCGGGTACCTCCAGATGTCGCCGGGCACCAGAGACCTCTTCAGCCGCGGCATCGTACAGAGCGGATCCGTGGTGATGCCGTGGGGGCGCGACTCAGCGGCCGTCGCCTACAACAAGACGGTACGCTTTGCGGAAAGCGTACGCGTCGGATGCCGGGAGTGGACGCGATCCTCGAGCAAGGGAGCGGACGCGATCCTCGATTGTCTCAGAGACAAGGACGCGGGGCAGCTCGTGGATACATCCGTGCTGAGAGACACATCATTCTTCCCCGTCGTCGACGGGAGCTTCCTCGTGGAACGTCCCGAAGATGCCCTCGCGGGCGGCAACTTCAAGAAGATGGACCTTCTGATCGGCTCTAACACGAACGAGCCAACTTTATTTTTCATCGAGGATCTTCCTGGATTTAGCAGCAACGCTGACGGCATCATCACCAAGGAACAGTTCATCAGTGGACTCAAATTCTACATCCCATGGTTAAACGAGTTTGCAGTGGATGCACTTGTCTACCAGTATACTGCGTGGCTACACCACGAAGAGGCAAGCATGTACAGGGACGCATTCGACCTTCTCTACGGAGACTTCTTCGCATTTTGCCCCGATGTGACCGCTGCGCTTGCTCACGTAAAGCAGGGTTCGGCGACGTACATGTACCAGTTCGCCCACCGGCCCTCCAACTCAGTGTGGCCTGACTGGGCGGGAGTGGTCCACGGTGCAGAGATGGCGTTCGTCTTCGGCTGGCCCCTGGATGCAGCCTTGGGGTACACCCTGGACGAGATTCAGCTGTCTCGTAGGATCATGCGTCACTGGGCGAACTTCGCCAGAACGGGGTATCTTCTATTTTTTTGTCCAATTTTTAATTGCAAAAAATAAATCAAATGTTTTCTTTCAAATGATTCTGCACTATATGACTTATACACAAACAGTGCCGTTCTCGTACCTTGCTTACATTTCGATGTCTGTTAGACACCTGCTTCTGACTGGAGTACTGCTTCTCGACGCTATATGTTGCCAAATTAGGGATATATGTAGGTGTATAAGAAAATCCCGATGTCCCATGTTTTACCAACCTGATGAGATACGATATATGACAGTTTTTAGATGTACTGCTCTAATTCGAAGTGATTATTTCATTATTACGTCTCTCAACATTAAACAGCCATATCATCAACTTCCCTGCTAACACAGACTCAACATTGCATTCTTTCCATAGTAACCCAAACAACAACAATGAGGTCACGTGGCGCGCCTTTGACCTGGTCGACGGGGGCTACACGGTGTTGGACGCGCATGCGCCCCGGATGAAGACGGGCCCGAGGTTCGCCGCCTGTGCATTCTGGGAGAATTATGTCAAGCCGCTCACTGCGAAGACGGGTTTGTTCTAACGTTAACCTAATGACATACATAGACTGATTTCTTGAAAAAAAATGGTGTATTACAGTGTCTTTAGGTGGTTTAATGATGCAATCTTTATCGATGTTTTTATGTTTAAAAATTGTAGTGACTCCATAGTAGGTTCACAAGAATGATAACACATACATTGCTGTAGTTTGGTAACCAAACCTATTTTAGCTGCCGAGTCTCTTTCGTCCTTCCATCAAACAGAAAGCGGGTCCATACCTATTTGCAGAGAGGCAAACGAGAATGTAAGCTTAAGTAGATCTGGTACCCGGGCTAGCGGAGATGACAAAAGATCCTCAGCAGCTAAAATAAGTTTGGTATAAACCAGGCTAACAGTGCTGACCTGTTTATGCCGTATTCCAGATGCCCTGATGACGAGTCAGTCCTGTGATCCCGCCACTTCAGACGCGCAGGTCCGTGCTGACAGCAAGGCTAAATTCTGGCTGCTGTATCTGATCCTTTCTTCTCTTTCTTTTCTGTACTATTTCGCTCTGCATCACTAGTTCCTTCCAATGTTAGAAGTAAACCTGTCGAAAACCTCCAGATGTTAACATGAAAGTTCATCTGAGTTAGTTAGCTACATAATGAGAACTAAAACTGTTCTCCAGCTCAACTAATTAGGCTCACGGTCTTCATCAGCTATCTGGCCAAAATGCCAAATTTTCCCACGCGTGTGACGTCAGCGATGGGTCAAAGTTCGTCGGAAGTCGGTACCGCCCCCCTCCCCGGTCCCGGTTGAGAGAAGGTTGGTGTGACCAGATGTAGATGGACGCCTTCACTCCTCTCACAAAGTAAAAATCTCCAGATGTTATTTGGTTGTGGCTGCGCCGCACAACACTTACATGGCCGTATCATGTACACGCGGTAGAAACAAGGTTTTCATACATTTTATTCGTCTGACTACAATTCAGACAGCAATACGAGTGGACGCATTTTATACATTTCCACACGCGCCAGCACACACGTTAATTGATACGAGAACGTATTTTAGTATGTACATATTGTGTACATGTACACACATTATTACCAGCTATACTAATCCCCGAGCATATATACCTGATTAAGAATCGTCTGCTGTTAATGTATACTTCATACGATGAAGATTAAATGTGCATTTTGTAGTTTTTGATTCTAGTATGAATCGTTAGTCTTACATCGGTGAATTCATGAACGTCATATGATGTAACAGTTTCGGTGTTTAACACGCACTGCTTGCCTAGTCTCCTGTGCAGGCCTCCGAGTGGGCGTTTTAAAACTGCTTTTGTGCGTTGACGCGTTCGTTTGGCGGTCATCGCACAACCAACCAGCCATCGTACGCCCTGGTTGTAAGAACTCGTTAACAATTCTACAAAACCCATTATTTTATTAAAACGCCCACCCGCTCTAAGCCCTGTATGCACAGGAGACTACTGCTTATCTGTGTATAAGAAATACCAGTATATACATGAAACAAAGAGCGTGTCGGATGAGCATCTGCACAGTTCCGGGATGGCAGGATGACTGCCTAATCTCCAAACAGGTCCTTTAGTGGCTGCAATCCAGTATCAAATTGGCAAGACAGTACCGAATTGCCCAACCAGTATTCACCATCCGCCTTACCATTTGCCTCCGGAGAATCTGCCACAGATCAGAAGTCTTAAAACCTTTCGAGTCTAATCACTCTGACACATTTCGGCCGATTTGTAAATAGGTACGAAGTTTGCGACGGGACTGGTTTCTACCGGTACCCGGGGGCAAATGGTAAGGCGGGTGGCCAATTTGATCTAATCTCCAAGCAGATTCTGTGGGGCAAGGGCCTGCTGGGGAGTATACTAGTATTGGCCGCCTGTACCCATTTGCTGCCCCACGTATTGGATACTGTCTTGCAAATTGGATACTGTACATGTAGCCATTCAGAGAATCTGCTTGGATGTTAAATTTGACCCTCCCATGCCCCCGAATGATATCTGCTTGAATTGGAGATCGATGACCGACCCCTATCATCATCATCATCATCTGTCGACACCCTGGCTGGGGGACGGGGCAAGCTCCTGCACAACACGACGCCACAAAGTACGATCTTCCATTGCAGCTGGAAGGTCTTGTTGTTGTAATCCTGTGTCCCTTGTGACCCCTATAGCGACGTGGTTCGCACGATCATGACCCGCTTTTCGTGGAAATGTTGGTCCGCGACGTCACACGGGTCCTCCAAGTCGTCCTCCACGGGCTGGGTGAAGAGGCGGCGGGCCAGCAGTCCCAGCAGCAACATCTCCAGCACCGTCAGGACAGCCGCGATAACTGCAGAAAGTAGTAGATATAAAAACATTAGGTATAGCTTTGTACATGTACATACCGGTCTGATAGGGATAGGACATGTTCCCATGTAGGAAACTGTCCATGTAAAACAAGACGTATCTTGACGAAGTGGTCCCAAGTTTTTGTCCGTTATAATTGGTCATCACTCATCTGCAGGGTCATCGCTCTCCGTGAGTAGAGCTGTTCCAGGAAGTTATTCTGACTTAGTTCAGTAGTCTTTTGGCCACACACTGAACAATTTCGTTTAGATACGTTTCAGAACTATTCTCCTCGGGCTCCAGTTAGACCAGTGGGTATTTGATTTAGGCAAGGAGGTTATAACCTCCTTGATTTAGGAAACTCCAACAAATGCGCTAGATAGGAAAGCAACAATCTTTCATTCCACAGCTAAACGCCCTCACACCCATCCCTTCCACCTTAAGATTTGCACTGACTACCACAGTACCTTTTTTCCGGTCCGGTCCGTTGAACAGGGTACCGGGACCACAGCCTTTCCCTCCGGGTATCCTGACTAGCGACAGGACAAGGAACTGCAGTCTCGAGAGCCCCATGATGAGCATGACCACGGCTAGCTTGGGGCGGAGGCGGAAGGCGGCCGCCTGAGGCATGTTCGCGGTGACGTTTCTACACAGACACAGTATGCTGTACACCGCCATCAGCATGCTGACCAGCGGGACCACCCGTAAAATCATGCCGGCCGACGCCGTGTCCTGTATGCAACACACAGCAGTCAACAACACTCGGTAAAGTACCTGTCACACACTCAGCAGAACGTTCCCTCGACCACCAGTTGACCACAGTTTCAAGATCTAGGCCACTCCTATCTTTCTATACGAGTCGAATTAAGTTTGAGGTAAATTTGAGTCAAATTCCACCGCCAACCACAGCTCCACCCACCTGCATACCCCCGAACACCAGCCCAGAATCATTTGATGAGAGACAGTCGTCACTAGACTCGAGGGTGTGCAGAATCGAATTGAGACCCCAAATAAACTTGAGTGTGCCCCCTTAATGAGAGAAATGTATACATGCTCTAGCGTTATTGTCTTCGTGGTACAAATTTCTGAGGATTGTTAGATCAAACCCACCTGCAGCTGCTTGCTTCCCTGAGCGCTCCGGTCTGTGTTGATGAGAGCGAAGATGTATGACGTCACAGGGTACACCACCGTCAGCTGCAGCACTCCGAGATGTAACCTCCTCAGGAGAACCCTGCAGAGCACACACACCGTAAATGATGACATGAAAATGTGAAAGAGGCTACAGTTTTTACAACAAGGCCCATCACCCATCACTCAATCGTGACGAGGGCCGATATCCTTTACCGGATACCTTTGACCCAGGGTTGATTGCATTGTCACAAGTCTCTCTGGGTCAGTGTATTGAAGAAGACCAGAGTAACTGGTCGAAAGCTCTAGGTGAGAACTATCCTTTGTGTTGCGAAAAAGTAACTACCAACTTCAGTACCTTTACAGCAAATACTCCTTTAACGGGCCAACTCCCCTGGCATGTTATCCGTCTATTTCTACTCTTCCCGGTCCCAGTCGCTTCCGAAACCTGGAAGAGGCTAGTTATTACTCTCCAAGCAGAGGATGATGGGGGAAGATTTATATATGGCCCGTTATTTCTGTCGCTACCCCCATCAACAGTGGCGAATTCGGGAACCTCTCTGGCAAATGGATACTGCCTGGCCAATTTGATACTGTCCTTTCGCCACCCTAGGATCTGCTTGGAGATTAGCTAGTTATGAAGTCTCCATGACTCACATGTTGAGTGGTTTCGGTGGAAGGCAGACGCAGCAGCAGATTGGCGGGGTGTTCATCCGGATTTTGAGTCCGCCGATGTTTTCCACGATCCCGCGTTTCCCGCCGAGATAGTCCACCATCAGCGTGAAGACCTGATATATCGCCAGGGACAGGTACCTGGTCACGACCAGAAAAAAATCCTCTGATCAATCAAAGTGAAATGAAAATTAGAACAAATAGAGCTAGCCTTTAATAGGTAAAATTAGGGTCAATTTCTTTTTTCAATCTATTGTCACGTCTATAATTATGATTGGATTATGTTCGCAGCTTCACGTCCACGTAGGCAGCTGAGGGGACAAATCTTAACGGTTTGGAAGAGCAGCAACTTCCTTAAATAATTTGATGAATACAAAATAAGTCACAATGGCCATGCACAGCATTTACGTTGTGCAATGTGTATCTGTGACAAGAAACAATTCTTGTCAAATTTTATTCTGCCTACATTTTTTCTCAGCCCTTTGGTATTAATATAGATTTCTACTCAGTCATTAAAGCAGGGGGCCAACAGCGTTGACAGCACTACGTTGGCGCTCGCCCAGCACTTGTTTGAAGTCCACATTTCTAAGATGGTTGCACTTGTGCACTGAAACAGCGTCCCTGTCTCCTACAGTGTTAATTTCCCCGTGTGTTGGCGCTCTGCCCGGCGCCCTACTGTTGTAACGCTGTCAACAGCGCTTTCACGGTATCCACGTCCTTACACTACCGGCTCTGCCAAGTCGGGCAAGTGTCACCGCTTCCCACGCGTGCTCGCTGTAGTGACCCTGGAGAGTTAGCCTCTTCAGCAGGCTCGACGACTGGGCTTTTTATAGTGAGCCTTAATAATGCACATTTTCTCCTAAAAAGCCCAGTCGTAGAGCCGGCTAGGAGCCTATAAATGATGGGTCCTATAGGGCGTTCCATCATCAAGATCGGTGTATGTGGTGTGGGGGTGGGTGGGTTGTGCTTATTTGGTAGTGGTAAGGGTGGGGGCTCGATATAATTCAGTAGAAAGCTATTCTGACCGTGTATACTGTAAGTCTATGTTTGCTGTACTATGGTGTTCACTCCTACGTACATGTAGTAGGAAATGTTAGTTAGTACTAGTGAGTGGTTTTGTTGATTAAGATACCATGTTTCCTTGTCTGTTAAGGTGCTTTATGGGACTAATATGCTGCCAATAATACACATAAAAATATACGAATAGCATAAGTACAGATTAAAATACTAAAATCAAGACTTTATCCTCACCAAGAAGCAGCGAAGTCGGCGACGTCAGAGGCCTGAGGGAACCACAGGCTGGATGCAGAAGTTGTACTGATCACCTGTGTAGAGAAATAGGTCAACAACTGCCTGATGTCAGCAATCAGAAATACTTACAGATAGTTCCTCTACAGATTTAACGCGTAGCTCCAACTGTTTTGTTAGACTTCCATATTTCATACATTATCAAGTATAGAAGTTGCATTTCATCACCAAATATCAAAATACCTACAGATAAATTTGATTACATACAGTAAAAACGGAGCATAGTTCCTGATGACGTAAAAACAGGTAAACTGTCAGTCTTCATGTCAGCGGTTGGTAGTCCTGGATGATATTTTTGTGTCATTCTTTTCCACAAGGATACTCCTGTTCCTGCAGATGAATCCATACTATCCTCTATACACGTTGTTCGTTGCTTGTACGTTGTTCTTGTATTATGTGTTTATTTTAGTGAATTTGGATCGGACAGATTAACGTTCGCTGTTCGTTGTCAGTGTCACGTGCACGGATGGCCAGTGCAAAGCAAAATATCAAATTTCATCAACAGACGAAGAGACACAGCAAACACAAAAACATGATAAAAATCTGTAGAATGATTGATTATCCTTCGTCTGACTTCGACAGGGTGTGTGATAATCGTCTTCTGGTATCCAAGGTAAATAATAACTGCAGCGCAGACGGAGCTTGACAGGGTAATCTCGCCGCACTTACGGGATACACGGCCAGAATCTTAAGCATCTTGCTCCTGCGGCGCGCGGAGAAGGGATTCCTGCAGAAGTACAGGCACTCCTCCAGGTACACCAGCACCGTGATGAGGGAGGCCAGCGTCCCGCCGAACATCACCACAACTGCCGTCACGTCCGTGGACACCTCTGAATGAGCGAGACAAACTTTATTATACACAGTAGTAAGGACTACGGACAGACATAATACAAGTACAACGTATGGCAAGTTCTTAAGCAGTACTAAATATTCAGAAAACAAACATAATCACAACTGCCGATACGTCATGTCCGTAGGCACCTCTGAAAGGGGAGGGGAGGACGTAGTGAGCGAGACATAGTCAAACTTAATTATACATACATTGGTAGTAACGACTATGTACAGACAAAGTAGTATGTGTTAAAAGTTCTTGAGCAGTAATAGATATTCAGAAAACAAACATCACAACTGAACAACGTGAACACCTCTAGAATGTTGGAGTGGGAGTTGTGAGTGGGGCGGAGTGACCGAGACATAGTCGAACTTTATTGCACAACAATAATATTGTAACAGGTACGGTGTGTGGCAAGTTCTCGTGGCAGCTAGGAAAAGGTTGCGAATAAAATTAAGCCTCCTTGCATCTGATGTTAGATTATATTATATTCAAGTACGTTTAATTTACAGTTTACGTTCCACATTTTGCCTCGAGTTGTGTTGCTTTTATCAGCTGGCCAGACAGACTCATTTGCTTCTCAATTAAAGGAGGCTGTGGTCGTTAAAAAATAGTAAATAGCTCTGTGATCGATCTAATATCTCTTTTATCCAATGTACTTCGTTTCAGTGGCTCCTTCGAGTGATAGTGAATTTGCTGCATGTTATGATCAAATGATAAAATCACGTTTAGAAGAAGTAGAAAATTAAGAAAAGCGACGCTTACACAGAATTAACCAACACAACTGAACTGAACTGATCACAGAGCAATAATATTGTCCTTCACGTACGAATAAGCAGAATCTTCAAAGTAGGTTAGGCGGTAAATCAGGCCTGGGGCTCAGTAAGGAAAAGCAGTGAAGTGACTGCAAATGACGAGGGGAGACGTTTGTTGTGTAACCAGACGAATCGTCAATCGGGTTGAGGTTGTGAATCTCAAACAGTTCCAGATCAACATGTCTGGAAGGCCGGTGGGAATCCTCCGCTTACGGCGAAAGGGCACTCTACACAGCTCGCGTGCTCTTTAGATCATATTTGCGCAAGAACTGTGTTGAAAAGGATTTAACCTGATTCTGAGTGGGTCGGTTATAATCCAACTACCGCGTAGCTGACATACAAAATTCTAGAAGTCTGTGTTTGTGTCTTTTCCATTTCTGTTTCCAATTCTCTGTTTCCAATCTGGACGGCTAGGCTAGCTACCTGGCAGCGCTACGTTCTGAGCTCGGAATTAAAAACCTAAAGCTTTTCTCAAGGGGACGGAAACTTTAATCATCGCTGAAAGTACTTATAATCCCCTGATTACTTCCATCGTAACGACAGGAGCAATATTGTATTCATCCAAGCCGCCGGAAAGTGCTCAAGGAGAATTCCCACAGGGAAAATTGCCCAGTAACAAAATTATAGGTTGGTTCTTTTGTGTTGCAGCAGAAGACGCGTATTTCGTCTGGCAGGAGCCATTAGACTGGATGTAGTGAAGTATGAAGCAGAGAATAACGAGCTGAACTGGAGGGACGGACCACGCCGTGACTGTTTTCTCAAACAGATTGCTCAGACTTACAGTGTTCGCTAAGCAATCCGTGGCTCGAAATACTGGATGCATATTACACTTTTGTGCACCAAAAATCTGTGAACCTACTTTTTAACTGCATCGGTGTACCTAGATATTTGAGTAAGGTTACGTACGTAAATGTACTACAATACACCAGTGTACTATATTCTTTACATTTGAAAATGCTTGCCAAATAAACACAGTTATTATATTAGTTCTAGTTCTATGCAGTACTAAGCAATACCCCTCGCGGGTCTAGTTAGGGGAGTGGTCGTTCCCCAACGTGACCGGTGGTGGTGGTTCAAGAAAAACAACAAACGAGAACAAAAACAAGTGCAATAAGTTAACTATTTACAGAAGTCATATTAATGACGCACAATACATACTATACAACCTGCTGGCTTTGTGCCGACCGGAGACTCTCGACCCTGATTTTCTACGATCCGATGTAGAAGGCCAGGGTCGTTGCATGAAAATATGGAAAATTGCTCTCTACTCTCGAGAGAAGGAAAAAAGTGTGTGTGTGTGTGTGTGTGTGTGTGTGTGTGTGTGCGCG